GGAAGAGCTGCCCAGCAAACCTAGCACTTCCGATCGCAAATCTCTTACGTGACAGAAAGGGCCATAGCACAATATTGCATTGGCACTATCCATTCCAGGTAAAAACTTTGATACGAATATCTGGCCATGATACCAACTAGAATCCTCTTCTCTATCTATTTAACGTGTGCTTTTCATTTAGCAGTGCAAGGAAAGAAGCAAAGGTTTACTAAAACTTACAGGCTTAGAAAAGCAAATGTGCTATTGAATCTGATAGGGGAAAAGTAGGTTTACAGTTGAATCGAACATGGCGAAAAACTAGATTCCTAAGAAAAGTTAGTTTTACGCTCGCGTGAACCCGAGGTGAAGAATTTTTGGGATGATGCCCTGAGGCATACCGCCATTCGAGTGAGGAGAGTTAAACCATCGTTTATACCCTAATCAAAGCAGTAGTATCTAGTTATTGGTACCAGCAATATAGATTATTCAGTTTGGTTTGTATTGATCGAATGCGTACGGGCTCCCTTGTTGTCGGCGGCTTCTGTAAGGAATCGTGCAGCAGAACGTGCATTTGGGCTATGTGGCTAGATCGTCACAAAATGACTTTGACAATGTACGGACGACATGAGTAATCTCACATGCCTAATTAGCGGTTTTTGCTCAGAAATATTCTTCAGCATGTGTACACATCCTTTTTACGGCAGCACCGTGAATGGCTAGTTCTTTTTTAAAAGGTCTGTAAACTTATATATATATATATATATACTCTTCGTTGAAATAATTCCGGTGACAAAACGCTACTTTAGTTAAAAGAAAGTTAGGAAAAGTTAGAAATACCTTAATAAGTTGTTGTGAGCAATAAGAAAAAGCCACCTTGCGCACATATATTAAGCATCCTCTGTCTGTATTGAAGACGTGCATGCGTTTCCCGAGGATGTTTAATTTCTGCTTTGCTGTAGGGCTACTGGTATTATGTGTTTTGTATATCAGATTCAGTCAGCTAAAAATTGCGCAATAATATAAAGTACGCAAATTTCGAACACGGACGGCGCTTGCAACACCGCTGCTTCTGTTGCTATGAGCGGGCTTTCAGGAGGTGCCATCGAAATATGAAACAGGCTTTTATGTGCATATCGTGCCACACGTATGGGAGAGTATCCGGGCCAATGCGGAGCACGCACCGCTACACAGCAGCGGGTCGAGAGATGCTGTCGCATGTCGAGCTATGGGTACGGTAAAGCAAACCGCGCAAGCCAGGGCGCAACGGTCTGCCACGATTCAATGAATTCCACAGCGAGAGGCTGGGCTTCGTTATGATGTTGGCGGAGCAAGTAAACTTATGCTGGTTCAGAGATGCGATTCTGACATGAGGGGGGGGGGGGACGGAGCCATGATTTTGGTCACTAGGAATGAATATCCTGAGAGCGGGATAGAAACAAGAGTACACGATGATACGTGGATGCGGAATGGGAAATGGAAATCTGTTCCTGCGCAAGCCATGCTAAAAAGTGAGAACTGTCAACCATCTTTCGTGCACGAAGATCAACTATACTTTATTTTGGTATGTAGGAGATGAAATCGCTCGCCTACACGGTACACATGCGATATATGTATACACCCACACGAATGCGAACGAGAAAAGATAACGGTTCGAGATACGCTTTCGATTCATTGCGTTAAATCGAGTTGCTATATGAGAATATTCTACTAGAACGTATGAACTAGAGAATTTTACAATCGAGACCTCCGAGTTCAAATTGTATTCTGACTACTTCGGGACTAGTAGCGGTATCTCGTATGCAGACAAAACGACTTATGTATTTGTCGTTCTAGACAATTCAAGCCTAATATGGAAAATCGTCGATGTTTTGAGCAAAATTTTGTGATTGCCTGCATCAACGTATGATCCGATCTTTACACGGTTTATCGGTGGATGCAAAGAGAACGTAAGTTCACGGAAGGAGGAGGGGGGTGACATGTGTCGCATGCTAGAGTCGTTTTCACATAGGAAATTACCTAACTTTCTTAGCTTCAAAGGTTGATATAGAGAATTGTCAATGTTTTCGACAATGTGTAGACCGCATGCTGTATATTTCGAGCAGTATGTCGGGCACGGCCAGAAGGTGTTTCCCTACACGACTAGGCACCAGTACGAAACGGCAGGTGTTTACATTTAGATTCAAACCTAGATCTCCACGAGTCCTTGATGTACGCAGGCCAACACGTTATTTGCTAGGCTATGACAGAGCAAACATTTACGTGTTTAACGAAAATTTCTATGGAGCTCGCTGTTGAGGACTGGTTAATGTGAACGCTACGATAAATCAATGGTGCGAAATCCTTTGTAACGATCAGATTGCGAGATAAGCGCACAAAACTTTCTAGAGTTGAAGATTAACCATATGACAAACAAATGTAAATTCAATGCTTAACAAAACCTCTTTAACTCCACAGTTTTGGTCGCATTAAATAACCAATTATTGAATATTATGTTGCGGATATCGAGTACATAGCGAGCCACATCGTGCTAAGAAATTTTATCCTCATTCTAATTCTGCCGGCATAAACGTTCTTTGTTAAAAACCCACTTGTCACCTCTGGGCTAATCTGCTTGGCTACTGATTGTATTCTGAAAGTTGACACAACTTCACTAGTTTGTATCCCCGTATTGACATACTTCATTTAATTGTTAGCTTGACCAGATCTCAAGTGTCAATCCATTAGATTTCTTTCATTGGTATGGCGATTTAATGATTATTTTTTTTCATCAACGTATAGACAAACATTTCACTCGAGAAACCCTATGTCTCCATAACTTATTCTAATATAAAGTGAATCGCTTTCACAACGACGCTGGGCAGATTCTGGACGTGTTGTGAAAATACGTACATCTTTTTTAGTAAGTTAAGGGGCGCGCCAAGTTTATTCAACAACACAGCATAAGTAGACGCCCAAAAATACTAAAAGCGTAGAAGGTATTTTGGTATCCACGGGTCCGATTCGCATTAATTAACTCTCCAAAAAAAGGTAGCTTGTATTACCTACATAAATTTCGTGTATCAATTTGTTCCGAACATGTCATGAAATGTTTACTTGCCTAACCTATAACAAAGGGATATTGTGGATTAAGGAGTGATGATCTGTGCTCTAAAACCACATTTAATCTACTATAGGCGACACATATTGTTGCAGGATATCGTTGCCTCTAGCTGTTAAGCACGCTGTTGAAGCCACCTGTTGACTATCGAGCCATGCTGGACCTTAATTTAGGCCAATATATTTCTCAATTTTCCCGTTATGAGCAAAGACTTTCTGAGCGTTCCTCAACTACATGTGCCCCATCATGAACCGTTGTCAATTGAGCTTTCACACATTAATTGTTTTGAAGATCGAATCGTGAATGCGCAACGAATAACAATGCTATAAGAAACGGTGTATTAGTAGGCCCCCCGCTGGCAAATTCCTCTGAATTAAAAAAAAAAAACGTGGAGTCTGTGCGCAATATTTCGGCTCCGAGAAGCTCTAAGGAGTTTACGAGCTTCTTTTTTTAGTTCGTATGAATTTTATTTACGCCGCGGCCCGGATATACCACTCGCTGTATGCACTGGTACGAGCAACTCTGTGATTAGATGGCAATACTTGTGAGGATCCTCGATAAAATCAGAAAAGCCACTCCATCAAAACCGGTCCTCTCGTGTTAGAGAAGGTTTCATTTTTTCAGTTATTATAAGGCATTCAGTCCTTTTCTTGAAGACTCCCAGTCTGAGAAACCACAAGAAGCCGGTCGCGACGTGTTGTATGCCCACAGGTGCATATAAAACTAGTAGCAAATATATGGTCAACGGTTAATGCTCGCAGTGAATTCGCGTCGGGCTATTGATTGATAGTGCGTCGGCACGAGCTGGACTTCATTCAAGACTCAGAGATTTTCGAATGGTCAAGAATAAAGAACTGTAATATTCGGAGAAGGTTCGCAGCCTTCGAGAACGCAGCATAGCGATCAACAAAAAAAAATTAGGACTAAATGCTTGAGAACACGTGCTAATCACATGGCCGAGCGTAAGGAGCAAACTGGTAAATATAGCCGTGGATTTGCCATATATAAGCCCAATTTTAAGTTACTGGCCTGACTTTATATGCGGCCGTTCTGGGTGCAGTAATATTGCGTTCTCGATTGGACTGACTCTGTTGCTAAATATGTACCGTAGCAATATAATATGCAATCCTAATGAAAATTTGCAAGCAACGCTCACAAGGGGATCTGGGAAGCTTCAGCGAGATTTTGTCATACCAGCAATTGATTTTCGCAATTTAAAAAAACGTTTGCACCCTAGGACACTATCTCCGCTTACAAAGGTCTATACATTTATTTTATTTATTAACATATTTATATTAATTTAAGTTAGATGATGTACAGCGTGTTCAGGAACTCTAGCTTCATACGAAGAGTATCAATTGTCTTCTATAAAAGCGTTACGCGAGGTGAAAGTGGATAATAGATGTAAGTTTAATATAAAAGGTGATACCTAGTTTATGTTATTGAAACAGTTTTAGCTATTATGCAAGTATCCTTTACATCTTCATCCAACGCAGATCTAGAACGTAGTAGAAAGTATAAAAATTCGCCGCTTTTCATTGATGAAACGGAAGCATCCAACTGGTACTGATACTGAGCTGAGTAAATCATCGTATAAATAACAAAAATGAATTTTTTTATTTAACAAACACTCAAATCCATCAGTTATCGTATGTATGATATATGTGCCAGATCTGCAAGAAAAAGAAAACATGTTATTACGATGAGACGTTATTTACTCAAATTCTGTGTCTCTGTTAGGTATTTGAGTTTCACTATGGGATCTACCCCTATATCTCGGGCTATACTATCCAGTCGTGCCCGAGCCACCCAATAGGAAAGGGCCCTTGAGGAGAGGGCGATGGCGAGGGCCGCAACCGCGGACGCAGCGATGTCTCATTGTGCACGCCGGCGAACGCAAGTGAAAGAAGTCCCTCAGGCGGCGCTCACTGCACGCCGAGCAGACAACGTGCAACAGTCAGAAAAAGAGCCTGGCCTACATGAAATGATCTATGTGCTACACCAGTAAGCTGGTCAAATTTATTCTAACATTTATCTTCCGTAGTGACAAGCATTTTTCAATGTCTTCGCTTCGTATAATAATAAGGACCAATGCGGAACTGAGGCAAACAAAATGAACTGAGTCAGACAATCAGATAGTTCGACACATTACTACAACAAGTTTCGAACATACTCCAATATTTATGATAAAAACAAAAATACCCAATGTTCCTACAATACATAATTGCCTTTCAGATGCATACGTACCTGTATCTTCGAATTTAGTGCTCTTAAAGTTATTTCACGGCGAAGTTGTCGAAGTGGCAAGATAGGACGTGCATCAATCAAGTGATTGTTTTCCAGATTTTAGCCGTATCAAGTGCGGATTGATCAAACTCGTACTGAAAATCGTCAACCATCTTCTGAACCCAGCTATTGTCTAATTAACATTCAGCAAGGTTCGAATGGGGGAATTGAACAGGAGTGATGAAAAGTGGACGTTTTAGTGAGTGAATTGTGGTTCCACCGATAAAACCCGTGGAAAACTTCTTCTAGGCTATCTGTTTAACGCATCGTGCGTCGTGAATTGCTAGATTCGTACATGTGAGCAAGCAGACTTCCAGACCTGTCTCCTAATAGCTTAATCAACTACACCGGCACAATCTTTGGCCTAGCAAGAATTTTTTCGAGGAAAACTTGTCGTCGTCCGTCGTTCTTCGTGTGAGTGATCTCGAGAGGTGTCAAATGGCGTCAAGCCGTAAGCGTGACGCGCCGGCATTAGATTCTCCAACTGTTTATGTCGCCTGTGCAGTAATTTTCGCTGCGCTTGTATCCTCTACTGTGGCTCTTGGCGACACGGGGCCTACGGCACAATTCGTGACACTGAATTCAGGCGAATACGATAACGACAGTCCGGTAGAGCCGCCTCCAGGCGATTCTGGAAACCGGGCGGGTTCATCAGGAGCAATGAGCATCACTAAGGAACGCCTTGCTTTAGACTGTAACCGAATCCCTTCAGGGGCGATAGCAGAACGAACTCCTGGCTCAGGAGGATTCTCTATAAGACTGAGTGGGTCACCGAAGAATTATGTGCCACGCGAGGGCTACACAGGTGAGTATCAAGATACTACGATCATCTATTTCGTGATCGTCACGCATGTGGCAGACGCACTGTACCATCTTACTCATCGTTACTCAAAAATACGATCCACTCAACAAGTGTTAAGGAATTATCGTCAAAACTTCTCGTTTCCTAGCCAACTAGCAAACAAATGTCGAATTTTACGAATGGTTGCCTATAATCTAGGAAGACAGCACGTGCATATAAGCAACGATAATGTCAAAACTATACCTTTGGGTTAGCGGATGCTCCCCATTCGTCTTGGCAAAGAAGTAAATACTTATAATAAAATTTATTAGGTAATGTTCGTCTCTCAACCGTGTGGGGTGCTAGTGTAGGTACCGCCGTAGTATTCGAGGAATGACGTGCTTTTGTGGCTGGAACCCGAAGACACCTATTTTTCCTTAGAGGAAGATGCAATGCGCCTTGGTTCACTCAAGTCATAGGTCCACACCGTGTAAGAAGTATACTTCAGCCCTAAACTGAAAAATCATCTTTGTCTATGATTATTTTTTAAAGTATTTTATCGAAGACTGCTTAGAGGATGAACTCAAGAAAATGATATAGATTACATGGCCAAACTGGGTGCTGAACTGAAACTTGTGCACTTGGTCAGCTATGTTCTTGTTATGTACTAACCAGCAGTGGCTTAAAAGGCATTTCAAAATCACCTACCGTAGAGAAGCTAGAACTTTCGAAAGAACTAGACGAATTTAGAAAACGTGATCACTATCGCTATAGTGATTGTGCGGTGTGACCTATTCTCTGCTGTAAGTTGGAACTGAAAACTATAACTTTGTGCAATGGTACAGAGTTTATGCAGTCGTTGCAGCATCTCAAGTTGATTGCAAGCCGCCGGGTTTTCTGTAGCGGACCAAATATGATTGGCGTAACAGTGGTAAAATGAATAATGATTGTAACAACGGGACACAGGGCGAAGATATGCAACTAGTGTTAATGATGCGCACCCTAAGCGAATGTATTCCCAGCGGTAGTCCTAGTAATGAAAGAACCATCTTCGATTCCCTTACTACCTTGTTTTGTGCATACTTACTTGTACACGTATCGTCGTAACTCTGATCAGTTCAATGAAGTATTTTCAATGTCGGGTCCGGGGTAAGATAGATCGAGAGGCCCTGATTACCTTGTCCTGATGGTAATTACTATGCTCTAGGATTCAAAACCCATTTTGTTGTTCTAACGCTATATACACTAGATTAAGTCTGAGTTAGTTGTGCGTTTTTCGGGTGTGACACATAGCAGAAGAATAGTTTCTTACTCTGACAAAATGTGGTACCATGCCGAAATAAGGTGTAAAATGGATAATTGACAATGTCTACCTGAGATGTTGACTGTATTTACATCGTACTGAAATTATAACCATTAACAATGCAAAAAGTTAACATAAAATTATGTCAGATTTTCGGTTAGTGCAACTCTGAACTATTGTATTTTTTTTCAACCAGATCATAAGTTTCGAGCTATGATTTATAGTTTACGATTGTTAATCTCATCTCCGACCTTATGGTGACCATCGGCAATGTGATACATTTTTCCACGCCGTAACGCTGGTTTTCTAAAACAGTGCGCCGAGACTACTATCTCGCTAATCATTATCTTTCCTGATACTGTGAGATTTTGAGGGAATGCTAGGCTACCCCCGCAAAATAAAACAGCTATTATGAAATTCGGTCGTTTAGGCAAAACCAATGGCCTAGCTATAGGTATTTCTGCTTTGAGTGCTTCGACGGTGAACTGATTGTCCCTTTGAAAGATACATTGTTGTATCGTTTATCGGTATATTTCACGTTTGATTGTACGTTTTAATTGACGCAACCTTCTTCTACTTCTGACAGTATAGTTTTTGGCCGCTGGTATTATTTGTTGTTAGCAACATTTTTAAAAAGAGACTTTCAGTAGTGGGTGTTGTTGACCCTAAACAGTATACACTATATATTTAAAAAGAGAAAAAAAAAAAAACATAGCACCACAGTCCTGCTTGGCGATTCTAACCCTACGCTTTACGATTACCAGTGGCGGAAACGAACAATCATCAACGAGTTTGTCAAACGGAAAATGTTGAATAGGTACAATATACTCGTTATCGAACAGATACGTAATTCGTTGTAGCTGATCCTAATAACACGAAATCGTTACGAGGTCTCTTAAAGTGCGAAACAGCGAAAGGGACCGTTCCCAACTATTATTGCAATTGTTGCTAAAGTGTTATTTTTGCTGAAGATTGATGAAGATGACAGAGAAATATCGTATCGAAGAAAGGACAATGCAGAATACAAATAAGCTGATTGCACTCATTTTGAAAGGATGATGCTCGATTATCTGAATGAATCTTCATATCGCTAGAGCTTCGTTACTGTCAAGGATTATTATTGAAGCATCATATCCTTCATTCAATCAAGGTTGTGTTTCGTAAGTACACAATCAAAGGAAACTTTCTTAGTGAGTAAATGACAGAGTGGTATAATCGTCGACAGTTGTAAACATTAGTCAGTATAAATAGATAGTTTACTTACTTTTCCTACCGAGATTTTCTTGCTGAAATGGTCACGCTGACTTCTAAATCGCTTCGTTTAAGTCTTCCCCACTACGTGATCGTTTGCCTATTTCTATCACATCGTGTATGTCAACATTGCTATTGTTACTGTGTGACTATCTAGTATTAAATATTTCAAGTTTTTTTACATATATATATAACACCGTTAATTTTCGGTGTAGACCGCGGGTCTCATCACGAAGCGAAGAGTGTCTATGTCGAAATTCGAATCGAAACTCCCATGTGTCCCTAGGATTTGAAGGTAAGCACGCTATCCAGCACCAGTGACATGGGAAATTATTTACTATATAAAATCTATTATGTAGTCCATAGCGTACATTTATTTGAATTATTCAATTGTCAATCTCGAATTTGATAATAGCAAAGGCTAGTCTGCAACAAATCCTAATATTTACAGCCTTAAAATAGATAAACGCATTCTACCTGCACAATTTGTGCTACAAGAAGGTCATGTAATCACAGTAGGGCTGCTAGTACGATGACGCCTTTGGCTCTGCGAAAAAAGAAAGCTCTTCTTTGAGCCTGTATCTTGATTCCGAACAACCGCCCGTGGCAGCTGAAAACATCGTAAGATCAAGCCAAGAAATACATTCGCCTCTTACTGAACATCGAAACGATGCATTCTCACCTATTTTTTTTCGGCCTATTTATGACTAAAGCCACATGTCGCCTCTACTATCGAAACCTGCAGAATCTCAATTTTACAGTTTTTTTTTGAGTAACGATTAGACCCTATTAGGTCTAAATCCAGATTTTGTGCAGTAACACGGGGTAAGGACACAGCAGAATCCTGGCAGTAACATTACATAATGCACTTCTGCTAGGTGATACCTTGAGAGGACATGGTACAGTTTGGAGTATCCATGAACCGTCCTTCTAACAAATGGTCATTAGGAGCTGATTTCTTCCGAAGAAATACGGGCTAACACGGAAACGACTTCTACTAAGCTCATATAAATGGTCAAAACAGAATAGCGCCTCTGGCGACTTACTGATATATAATCAAATCAGCCGTCATTTCATAACTCTGAGAAGGTGTCTCATGTGTGGTCCGCAGTACGTCGCCACCGGTACGAGATTAGCAACCGGTCGCGATTTTTTTCGGCAATTCGAGCGGATAACGAACGAAAGCGAGAGATGTATTATCTCCACCGATAAGGATGTCAGTAGATTTGAGTCAGACTCTCGTATGCCGAACCCGTGAAGTGGAGCTGCGATACGAACAACGCAACTTTCTATAACGCGTACCTGTAGCAGTAGCAACAATGATGATACGGCCGACAAAGAGAAAAAGACCTGGCGAAACAATCCCGTTGCTCCGGTGTTTAATGAAAATCTATTTGGCAGAAATCTGGCTGTGGACAATTTGAAAGTTAGATGTAAGCTTCAGCTGATGGATGAACGAGTATCGGCTGAAAAAAGGGGCGGTAGCTATCTAAACGTAAAAGAGCCAGCAGCGTAAGCCTTCTAGTAGATCGATAAACACAACCCGTTAGTGATCATAGAATCGGTCACTCTGATGATAGTGTGAAAGCGAAAGTTGCCGTGGCATGGGGTTTTGTAGAGTGTCTCACTTGAGGTGCATTCGATTGACTTTATATTACAGATTATTCTTATGACTCAGGATAGGGTTCGCTACTTGCGTCATCGGGTCAGTGCCTCGATTATATCTAGCGCTGCACAACTTACGGGGCGCTGGCGGTGATTAAAGAAAGGCAAAAAATTTAAAATACAGCCGAAGCCATTTTCCACTATCCTAGATTCTACTTATTATCATTACTAGCGTCAAACTACTAACAGGGATAACCTGGATGAGAGACTGACGCTTCAGGCCATTAATGCTAGGATCAGAATTGTTCTGAACCTAGACGCTTTTGGCGAGCTTACGTTTCTATTTCGTATATCCGCTAATGAAGTTTTTTCAAGGACATCGCACCGGGAAAGATACGAAGCTATGGTCAGACCGTTCTAGAAGTTGGGTGCGTCTCATGCAAAAAACGGTAGGTTAGCTCTGTTTGCACACGGATCTTTTGATGCCGGCAACACATTGCATTGTGATCCATTTAAGCCATGACCGCACCTATCGAGGTTCCATTCAAACTATGTATACTTTTCGAACCTATTCTAGGGGAGCACTAGGAGTTCACTCTATTCGCTACCGTTATAAAGTCAAACAACTGCCTAAATAGGTAAGCTAGACGCGCTAAAACAGTCGAATAGCCATTAATGAAAACTGAAATGTTTCTGTCTACTAAGCTGGCTATACTTAGAATTGTTTGTTGCATAGGCTACACTGTCAAACTATCAATTAATGATGACTGGTGAGCTAAATTTTTGTTTTTAATTGAATTTTAATTTAATCTAATAATCTAATCAAAAGTTTGTACGGTCATCGATGTCAAGCCTCGTTAAGTTC